GGGTGAATTTATTGTGCCTGGAAGCAAAGAGCTAATAGCACTGGCTGGAACCCAGGAAAGTGCCCAGGCATCACGGGGATAAATTGCCAGGCTATTTCTCATAGGTTCCTGCTTTTCCTGCGCCTGCAACCGCACGCCAGGCTCGTCTCTTCTGACCCGGCCGTAATTCGTATCTGCTCGACATCCTTTTGCGATGCCACTGAGCTGAAAAACCCGCTCCCGCCAGTGGCGCGGTGGCCGGGGGAGCGTCGCTGTCCCAGCACCGGGGACGGCACGGACGGAGCGGAGCAGGACCTGCGGCTGCACCGCTGGCTGGGATGCGGTGGCCGTCCGAGGTAATCCCCCGGCTAAGCTGTAGCATCCCCGTGGATGAAAGACTAGAAATGTAACTCCGTTATTACCGGAAACTGCAAAAACACAACAAAATAGAGGGTTGTCGCTATCCATTCTCTGCAGACCCTGGATTATATCAGTCTGAAACAGTAAAAGCACTGATGTTAAAAGTGGATGGAGCTAGTGTCTCACGAACAAGTAAAGCCTGTGATTCTCTGCCCTCCAGGAACTGAGATATTCCTAAGCCTGCCCTGGCACGTGCTCAAGACACTGGTAGCATGGTAAGACCAGCCTAGCTGCTTGTCACGCCGGGCAACTCAACTCCAAACATGGACTGAACTCTTCGGATTTAATCTCACACACTATTAACAAAAAAAATTGAATATTTTCTATCGCTTGTCTTTTGGGGAAAAAAAAAATTGAAGTGGCAAGTGTAGCAGAAGACAGCCTAAAAGGCTTACTTCAAAGCTTCAATATCAGACTCCTAAGGCAGAAAAAAAACTAGCTGGACCCAGATCAAAATTTCACCTAGACTTGGAGACATTTGGATCCCTGGGCCTTGGTTTAACAGGCATGTAAATCCTCAAATTCCCCCGGCTTCTGCTCTCAGCCCAGCTGAATCCCAGCTTGGCACTCCCACTATTTCAAGGGAGAGCTAGGAAGGGCTTCGTGGATTTAAATAATTTCAGACCGAGCCTGATCCTCGTCCCAGCCTGAAACCTCGGCGGGACTCCGAGCCGAGCACGTGCCAGCATCCCTACGCTCCTCCCCGTCCCAGCGAGGCCACGGAGCCACCGCGCTCAAAATCCCAGAGGAAAACTTTGTGTTGTGCTTTCGGGCTGCTCTGAAACCCTGGTAACAAAACCTCTTTAGGAAAACAAAGCTCCGGAGGGTTTCATGGTCCCTTTTAGCCTCTCATTTCTTTTTGTCTGGTTTTTAACTCCTAATGATGTCACTGTCGAATTGACAGATTTTTTTTTTTTCCCCAAAGAAAAAGCCTGAAGAATTTGAGCTCAGAGAGAAACTTGAAAGACTCCTGTGCGTAAACATCCATCTGTTCCCTTGCATGTTCATCTGAAGTACTGGAACTGAAACCCTTCTGGGGGAGTTTATTTTGCTGTCCCTAGATGTGCCGACATGATGGGCAATTAATCTAGGCAGGATGTTCAGCGAGGACTGGCGGGGCTGTGTCATTCAAACGTGCTTTTAAAAAGAACAGGAAATGTACTTTTTTTTGCAGGGGACCTCTATGATTTCCATATAATGCCGCTGCATTTTGAATGGAGTGGATTTTGGTTAAAAAATGATGAAAGCGCTATGAAATTAGTACCTTGCAAAGGACTGCTCAGCAGACGGATGATTCCGGCAGGAAATTATTTCAACTTGTTGGTTCGTCTTTCAAATTGGATTTAGAAGACAAGCAGCTGAAGCCACTTGAAAATGGATTTAGGGGCCACTTGAACTTTCTATCATGGATGAACCCAATTTTGTTCTACATGACAGCAAACACTCTGCGGTATTTTACCAGCAATGGAGGCTGCTGCGCTTCTAATCCTGAACACAAAGAAATGGAGAGACCTTCAATAGCTGAGAGGGGAAAATGAACCCATCCAGGGCGAGAGGATCCTTCTTAGAACTGACCTTTCCCCTTTCTTTAAAAGAACTTTGTTATTTACTTTGCGCTAGAGGCAGAGAGTTACTTGCCTCAGAGAATTCACAAAAAACGTTGGAAAACAGCCACGAAAATCTGGCCCCAACAGGTATAAAATCTGCTCCCTTGCCCTTTACTAACACTGATAATCATAATAAATGATCTCTGCTTTGCCATTAAAATATTAAAATAAATGAACTTGCTCTCAGCAGCAGGAGAGTAGGCTACTACTGCAAGGCTTAGCACGCAGAGAGCCAGCTGCGGTGGCTTTAGCCCCCCGGTTTTTCCAGGGAGGCGAGCCAGGCAGAGCCCGAGCTGCAGCCGGCTGCGGTGCGGACGAAGGCGTTACTTACTTGGGACCCTGTTAATGGCTCGTAGCGGCCGAAGTACCCGGACGGTGCGAATCGCAGACAAGCTCACGTTGTGTCCGTCCAGAGAGTACTCCATCATGCTGCGGGGGGAAAGAGGAAAGGCGTCAGGACATGGCATGCTCGGTCTCTGGGTGCTGGGGCTGCCCGGGGTTGGGGCTGTCACTGCCTGCACGCTCTGGGAGCCATAGCCCAGGCTTGCAAAACCTCCCACTCTGTGTTTGCAGCTCATAATGTGCATCGTGCTGCCAATGGGGGATATGAGGGATGTTTTGGCCTCTAAGAGACTGCAAATACCCCCAGGAGCAGCGATGGTGCAGGGGCCGGCAGGCAGACGTGCTCCTGGGCTAACAGGCTGCGGGCAGAGGTAACGCATCGGAAAAGTAGGATTTGGCCCAACAAGGAGCTGCAAAGTGGGGGCTGCAGAAATCAGAGCAGAGGCGGAGCCCCCAACTATCGGCTCAGCTCCCACAGCCCCCTCTGCATTAGCTTATCGCGCTCTGGCCGGCAGCGCGTCCGCAGCCTTCCCGGGGACATTACCGCACAACTCCATGCAGCACAAAGTCAATCAGATGTTGCTGATATTATACCCCCTGCTAGCACCCCAGCGTATTTTCACGCCACCTTATCTCTCCCCCTGTGACAAAAATGTGAATAACCAAGCCGACAAATGACATTAAAGTAGTTTGGTTTCCATTTTATCATTAAGAATAGAGAACATTTTCTTTTTCATGCTCCGTCTCCATTTCACATAAACATTTCTCTCCCAGGCTGGGAAGGACGTTAAGTTGGTTTTCTTGCTCTTTTATAGCAATGAGTGGCAAATGTGTGGAGTGTTGTTTTTTTAATGGAGTTATGGCTAGTTAGCATGGCTGTAATTACAATTTATGAGTTTGACTACAGGGAAGCACTTGTAAATATGTCACAAATCTCTCACCACGCCTGTTCAAATAACATAACAGCATCAAAAGCAACCCTGCGAGTAAGCTGTTGGATGCCATGGAGAAAGAGCTTTTGTTTTGGCTTTTTTTAAAATAAACAAACAGATGTGGAAGGAGGAAGGCAAATACAAGCCGAACTGCTGCAACCAGGCGCTTCAGAAGCTTCAGTGGAGAGATTTTCGATTGAAGCATCCTGCAGCCGGACTGGATCAAAATTCTTACGTGCCATCAAGAAGCAACAACCGAATGGACTGAAGCTACAGCTGAATGGATTTCAGGCAACAGCAGAGGGAGGTTTCGTCTCGGGCCAGCCTTGCTCGGGTGCATCGCTGCCCGTGTGCCCGCGCTCTGTGCTGCCGGAGCCTTGCACTTCGTATTTGATGCCTTGCCCTGCTCTACAAAGTTTAATTAGGAATATCTAGGGGTTCTGTTGTTTGCTTCTCTTTTGTCTTTGTCCTGAAGCTGTTCGGTGTAACCCCACGATATGACCGGAATTGCACTGAGGTGACTTTGGCCCATTAGCCTTAATTTGCCATGCAGAGGCCCTGGTGATTTTGAGCTATTTTTAGTGATAACCTTCCAGAGATTTTTTTTTTTTTTTCTTCCCTGAATTAGTTAGTGAGTCTTTATAAATCAAAACCACCTTAAAGCTTGTACGTAGGAACTGAGCCGAACATGATGAATAGCTTTAAAACTCAGCACGGCACAAAACCAGGTTTTAAATCTAATGTGCGTTCATTAAGCAGCCGGAGCAGGGCAGTGGGAAGCAGCCTGGAGCTGCACGAAGGACCACACAGTGGGAAAGCCATCGGAAATGCCCGTTCACACCTGCGTCGAGGGGCCTGGAGCCAGCACCAGGTGTCTGCTCTAAACAGACCGTGCAGGAATAGACAAAGCATTGTTTAAAGTCCCTGAAGTGAATAGTGCCGAAGCCTGAATCTGTTCGCTGGCGTGGCCCCAGTACAGGCACACTCACAATTTATCGGGTGGCTGAGTAAGTGGATTTTAGTGTAACTGATACAGTTTTTGAACTACTAATAGCATGTAAAAGAAGTAGGAAATGCTCCAGTGGGAGCTGGTTTTGTACTCCAGAGAGCACATGCAACTATTAGCGTGCTAAGGGGCCAACTCCTGGGGCCTCACTTTTACTTGGCCCTTGGAGTTTCAATGGGGCTGATAAAAGATGAATAATCCAGCATTTGGCCTAGGAAACAGACTTTCTGACCCTAATACTTTGAACTTCCGTGATACTCCATTTAGGATTTGAAAGTAAGTCTCAGCGGATCTACATCACCCACTGAAGCCAACCTGAAACACTTGATGGATTCCAGACCGGACCTTCTACAAGCAGTGAAAACATCTGAAGCCTTCATGAAAAAGTCAAGGCCAAGCTTGAGGTCCTGTTCTCATATCACACTTGTAAACCAAGAATACCCTGGAAATGCCCAACAGAAAACTGCTGGAGCTGGAAATTTTGGGTACGCAGGGACCGGAGGTCTGGGTGGACTGGCACTTGGTAGGCGATTCCCTACAGCCTCTGGGTACTGAAAAAAAGGAGGCACAAGCCTTTGCGAAGTCTTCTACTGTGAACAGTTTCTAGTCCTTCAACTGTCAAGTTAAAGATGTCCAAAGCATATTATATGAGCCTGCAACATCTCCAGGGGCTGGATGCACAAGAAACCTCTCTGGTTTCAGCTCTTGTGGACAACATTTTTGATGCTTGGGAAATGCTTTCAACTTGGCTGCTGGACAGACTGAAAGGTTGTAAGCTCCATTTGGTCTGAAATTTTCCAGGGTACATTTTGCAGGCGAGCAAAACATGAAAGGGCTTTCAGTGCTGGAACAAACTTCAGACACAATCTGTTGCTAGAGGCAGAAGATATGTTTATTTTGTAGTTTCCCTGCTTACCCTCTGCTCTCTTCGGTATACTTGCTAGTGAGCCAGATCAGCTTATTTGAGGAGATTGAATGGGACAAACAAAGCAGGCAGCATTGCCTATCACTTGTTTCCCTTCTTATCAGAAAAAGCCTCATAATAACTTCATCACATCCATCTGGTTGCTGGAAAAAGCAACTCTTGTTATTCCAGTAGTGCGCTCCCTGCAAAAACCACCTCCAGTTGGTTTTTTAATGGAGTTATGGCTAGTTAGCATGGCTGTAATTACAATTTATGAGTTTGACTCATAAATTTGAGTAAAAAAACCCCAAAAAACTCCATCCACTAGGAGCAGACACTGGATGGAATGGTGGTGGTGGGAGAGGTGGGAGACGTGAAGAACCCCAGCCCATCACACAGCTTCTCCTTGCCCTCCGCCAGCGTTACCGGCCAGCCCAGCTCCCAGACCAGCCTCTCTTCTGAGAGATGGGAAATCATGTCACAGGTATGGCTCGAATATACCAAAATCATCTGGAGATGGCCCAGGATCAGCCAGAGAAGGGGCCGTTCCTCTTCTCATCTTCAGCCTGAGTAACGCCAGACTGGCAACAGGGCTTCCCATTGGGGTCTCCTGGTGCTTCCGCTGTTGTCATTCTTCTCAAATGTATGCCAGCCACGGAGGGTGGGGAAATGCCCTGGAAAACTACCAAATTGACTCACCAGCCACCTTCCCCCTCATCCCGGGTGCTACATGAACAAAGATCCTGGTGCCAAACCTGACTCTGAGGTACGAGCAGAGGGCTCAGCCTTTCTGCCTGCACGTGCTGTTTTATTCTCCCACTTCGCTGGGACGATCTCTTTGATGATGTGGGGAACGTCTGCTCGCCCCTCAGGAGAGCTCAACCTGCAGGTTCAGCGTGGGGAAACACCGCCGGTGTGTTGGTTACGGATGGCAGATTTCTGATCCTGAGTTTCCCCTGCAACCGCAGCCTTGCTCTTCTCCAACTACTACTGGCTTAAACGCTGCACCAGCTTTGGAAAGAAAAAATAATTAACTGCTTCTTCTGTTGTCCCTGCTGTTCTTTCGTGGGCTGTAACCACACACGGGTTCAAGGGGAGCTCTGCGCAGGAGAGCTCATGTTTTATTCAAACCAGTAAGGCCATTCCTAATTGTATTCCAGACAAATAACATGGAGCAAAACAAAACTCCATTAGTGTGGTGAAGATTGTACATCACTAGCGTAAGGGTAAAAATGCCCCAACATATTACAGGAATGTTCTAATTAACCCCAGGCTGGTCATTATAAACTCAGGAATTCAGAAATAAGTCAGAGCTCTGTAATTAAAGCAGTCTATCCCTTTCTAGGGTATACTAAGCAGGTAAGAGAGCCTGGGGTTTCTAAAATCTATTTATTTATAGAAAGAAGTTTTAGACTTGCCAAGCTTTTAGTCCACTCAGTTTTTCCCTATGGGTGTGAGGGAACTGGTGTCAAAAGCACCCAGATCTTCCTTATATCTGTTTATTAACAAACCCTGCACAAATAAGCAGCTGTGGGAGACAAGTATTAAAGTGTAAACCACAAGAAGTTTACAGGAGGTATCTGCATGCACTTGTAACTTGGGTCAACTTCTGGCCAGCTTCTTCCACTGGGATTTCAACCTTCTGAACCAGATTTTTGGGCTAGATTCTCCTCGTTTGGCCAATTTCTACCTCTCTGCCTCACACTAATGGTGTCACATAGAAGGAGCGGGGCTGAGCTCCTGCACACTTTCCACCCGTTGTGGAGACAGCAGTCTTAACCACGAGCACTGGGACATAGTGGCCATTGCAAGGACTAGGTCAGCGTGCACTTGATTTGACAGAGATGATACTGGTGACAGGATCGCTACTGAAAACCTGATGGCTTTTGCCCTGAGATTCATACTGCACCCCATAATCCAGCATGGTTGCCAGAGGTGAAACCAAATGAGCCTTAGGAGACTTTGCCTTGGCTTGAGCCTGGCAGCTTTCACCAGCCGTTGTGAAAACCAGCCAGGACAACCTACAGATTTGGGGCTTTCTTGCTTTCACCGTGAAGAGCAAATTTATGAGGTTTTGTTACTGACCCCGCCATCACGATGAAGAAGTCCAGGCGATTCCACGTATCTCCAAGGTAACACTTCTGCCCGAAGATCCCCAGAGCCACCATCTTGATGACCATCTCCACCGCAAAGAAAGCGAAAATGAAGTCGTCAAATGCCTGGAGACCAGTAAAAGATTATTACAGTCAGTTCTGCTGTGCTTTCTTATCAGGGAAAGGGAAAGCAGAGACACAAGCGCTCCCACCACAGAGGCACTCTGGATACCCTGGCAGACACTGCGAGGCAAAGCACTGGTACCCAAGTGCCACGTACCCAACTCAGAAATAAAACCTGCAATACCTGATGGATGACGGCAACCCCTGAGCACAGCTCCTGGGTCAGCCCACTGCCTGGGAAGCCTTAGCAGCTTCTGTTAATCTACTGACAAAGATACAAGGACATCGCTGTTGTACAGGCTGGATATGTTTCTTGGCATTTAAAGCCCATGCATTCAACAGCAGCTTGTGGCTGGGTCCAGGAGGTCTCAGGAACTTGCAGTGGAAGCTGCGTTTCCAGACCGTGCAGCTCATACCTCCTAGAAAGAATTTGTCCCATCTAACACAGGGGGATGTGCTTCACCTCTGATGCCTTCACGGACTCCTACTCACAGACCCAGACACAGCTGGCAGTGAATGCGCACGCGAAGCAGAGGCTGAAGCAGTAGCTATAAGGGCAGTTCTGCTGCACGTGAGGAATGACTGGAATGGTTCCTCGTGCTGCAGAGGCTCAGGGCATCCCGCTGGCAAGCCTGTGTGCCCAAGCGCAGGAGCCTCTTGATGAAGGTCAAAATTTTGAGTTTTAGATTACTGTGAAAACAAGAAGAGAAGATAAAGACGTGCAAATGAATCCAGTGCTGCCCTATAGAACGTGCCTCAGCCTTCACTTAAAGACTTCTGTAGGGTAGTGTGGACTTGGACAGCTGTGATTTCTCCAGCCTTCCTGAAGACTACACGTACATGCGTGAAATGTGGATGTATCTGAAGATACCATGAAATGGAGTCTGTTGTAAATACTCTTCTACATGTTGCCTGTAAACTTGAACATCAGGAGATACAGATTGCTTTTAAATCACGAGCAGAGGCTTTGTTGTTTTGAGTAACAGACTTGATAAAGCACCGGAACTTCTCGATCTACAGACATGACTGCTGCTGTCCAAACCGCTCTCTTTAATGACCGTACTGTTTGGTATTGTGCCTCTGGCACTTTCAATTTGAGGCCTGAGTGGATTAACAGTAAAATTAACAGCGTGTCCATGTGGCAGCCAAGTTCCCACTGTGCATCCATGTACCTCTGCGTGGCTGTGTGTGGGCACCATCTTCTCTGGCTGTTGGCTTTATCAACCAACCTTTCCCTTGATAGACTACGCTGAAGTTTTGCTCCATTATTTCAGTTCATTTAATAACTGGCATCCGAATGCCTCCATAAAGGAGTTCAGGCTTTTCTACCTCATGTTCTGGCTTCCATTTCCTCCTGCAAGCTGTGACAGGGTGAGGGATAACGATGGCTTTACTTGCAGCCCTTTTCTGCCTGCAAACCCTGCGGGATAACACTTTGGATTTTGCGAATATACGTTGTAATCATGAAGCTGGTATTAGAAACCAAATTCAGTGCCTGGGCTCCTCACAGATGTATGAGTGTCTATTCTGAGGAGAACAGCCCATGCAAGCTGTGTGTTTGCAACCTGATTAAATTATGAAAAAAAGGAAGCAAATAAGGAGCATTCAATAACGTCACCTCCTCATCCAGGCAGGATTCCCTTTGTCTACCTCTTTGGGGGCAGCTTAGCCCACAGCTGCCTGTAGTGTGACATTTTCTGGTGACACCTCCGGATGCCGCGTCACACCAACCCGGAGCCTGACCCTCCGAGACAATCCCTATGCCAGATGCCTCTGGTGGCAACAGTTTCTCCAAAATTGATCTCATTCTATAACAAACCTATAGTGGCTTCTCAATTCATCTGGTTTACTTGGCTCTACATTTAACAGATCCTCTTTTAAGGTTGAAAGAGGGTTTGATGATAAACTCTGCTATTCCTGGCATCTGCAGGCGGTTCTGGACCAATCTTTGAAAGAGGCAGGAGAGGCTGGTTGGAAGGATCCCACTGGCCTTCCTGTACGGCTGAAACGCCCAAAGGGAAGTAAAGCAGCAGATCTGTGCAGGATTCAAACGAAACAAACCCGTTACACTACCACATGTCGGTAGTCCCTGCCTAGGTTGATGTAATCCATTAGAAGCAACAAAAGTTGGTTCCAAGCCTGAGAACTGAGTTGCTGCAGGAAGCCCAGCGCCAAGGTGCAGCCCACACACCAGATGCTGCCGGGATGTGCTTCCAAAACGAATCCTGTGGGCATATGGCAGTGAGGGGATTGCCAGGACACAGCAAGGGATGAAGTGATAAGCGTGGTGCCCCACTAAGCTTGGGGTGGCCAACAAACAAGAGTCTGTGAGCTTTCTACGTGTATGTAGAAATGTATGTGAGCTTTCTACATGTATGGTTGGACTGCATGATCTTAAAGGTCTTTTCCAACCTAAACGATTCTATGATTCTATGTATTTCCCAAAGGTCAGTTATCCTGGAACTCGGCAATGCTGCACTTCAGCTGGTGGGCTCCAGTGGAGGAGAGCAGGCACGGGCCCATCCCATGCTTTTTTGTTTATGAAGAGTGGAATGCAATGGCAAAGGCATCGGTGCCGTATTGCACAGATCAGAATGCAGCAATCCAAGAGATGCCAGCAGCGACTTGGCTGCAGTGGAACCGACTGACTGCGAGCAAGAGGTTCCCTGCAGCATTGGCCATCCTGTAATTAAAGAGTGTCCAACACCTCCAGTGGGAGCTGGATGCCCAATTTTGAGCCCCTCTACCCTTATTAATTATGTAGAGAAAGGATCTTGCTCGGATAAGTCCAAATCAGCCAGCCTTTGGGTCTCACCTAGGGCCATGGCAGGAGGTCTCCTCAGAGTACAGACTTAGAATGCCAAAGTGTGGCTTATTGGAAAAACATTCCCTATGGGAAGGGCTTTCATGGCTGGATCCTGGGGAAAAGGAACAAGATGGGGGTCCCAGCTCCCAGGATGGCCACCCCCCTGCAACCCACATGTCCCAGGCAAGTGGGGCAGCATGGGATCCTTACCTCCAGGATGGTGCACCGCTCCGACTGGCACTCCACGTCCTCGCAGGGCTGGAACATGCCCAGGGTGACGCAGTTCAGGAGGATGACCAGCATGCTGATGTGCTCGAACCAGGTGAGAGGAGGGCGTTAAGGAGAGCACACGCTTCAGCAGCCATCGGGAGCGGGGAAGGTGAAGCACCACACTATCTCCACATCAAAAAGCCTTCACTCCTCCCGAAAGCACAAAAGAAAACAGTGCCCAACATCCCAGATTTGCTAAGGTTTGAAGTTTTTGGCAACTGAGAGGGCCTTAGGAAGCGTACTCCTGTTGAGATGAAGGGACAAAGGAAGCCTTTCATTTCCTCCACAGCAGCCAAGTCAGAGAAGCACACCAGGCCCATGGCTACGCTTTCCATCTCAAGTCCTCCACACCATGATGCACCTCTGTCCTCCTCCCACAGTAACTTTCATCTCCAGATCTCAGAGGGTTTTACCAGTGAATCACCCCATGTGTCCGCTAGCATTAACTCTTTCACTACCAAGCTAAAGAAAGCAAGACAAAGAAAGATGAATTAATTCAGGCACCACCAGAAACACAGCTTGTGCCCAGTTCCTTGCTCCAACCAGTGAGGTTGCTCTCCTTGTTTCCGTCTCGAGTCCTGGGAATGGGTGCTGAACGCAGGCTGTCTCCTTCCTACCCCGTTTCTAAGTCTCAAGGAGCTACAGAGTCCATTTCAAGCTCTACATCATGACTGACGATAACGGCAAAACAAAGCCAAGCCGGTGGCACAAGCTGGTAGGGCCAAGGATGGTGGCCGTTGGGATACGGGATGTAAACCAGGACCCAGGGTGCATAGCACAGGCTTTGACAGGGATGGAAACGGCTCAAGGTTGGATGTCTCCAGTCACCAAAAAAAAAGACTATATTCTCTTACAGGACCTACCAGTGCTCAGCTGCACTAACATTGATAGTTTCAAAGTGGTAAGTGGTGATTTGCATCTGAGGAAAATAGGCCCAGAGCTTATGATTACTGCTGCTGGTATGACTATTAAAAATAATAAAACAAGTTTTGGGGGAACTAAACAGGAGTTTCACAAATTAAGCATGAATGAGAGAACTGTTCTTAGGAAAATAATTGGAAACATCTGTGTATGAATAAACCTTTATGCCTTCAAACACACAAGCGCATGTGAGCAAGGGATCACGGAGAAAGAAGCACATAGACACTGTCTTATTTCTGATAACAACAATTCTCCTGCTCTGGAAACCTGAACAAAAATACCTACCATATTTATCCCTGCTGCTTTTAGAAGTATTTTATCTGGCATTTTAGCAGTTCAGCGTAAGATTTATTGCAGCATAAGATTAGGCAAGTGCAGGGCTGCAGTCTCAAACTACTTCTGCACACACTCTCATTTATCCAGATTAAAAGAAAAAAGAGCAATCAGCAGGGTCAGGTCCTGCAGCTTCCCTAAAACCTGAACCCAAACCACTTCTTGTTTTAGAGAGGGCTTTAATTTGAAAATTCAGAGCTAGGAACACCTTGGAACCCATGCTGGAGACCAAACACGTCAGACTTGGAAACCCACTCGTCTAAAATGGAAATGCATGAAATCAAACAAACAAATGAAATAAAATCCCAGCTCACCCCGTCAGCGATGCAGAAGGAGCTGGAGCAGGCAAAGCGCCTGGCCACAGCCCCAGAGGACTCGTGCATCGCTGAAATACCAATGTCAGTTTATTTTAATTTCTCCCTCCCTTCAATGACTTCTTTCTGATTTTTAACATCTTTAGGGGCTCTTTGGATCCCCTTTCCTTTCGCCTAATTAGAAGCAGAGCGGTAATCCTACTCCACAGAGAAAACAGCCCGCATCAGACCCAAACACAGCCCAACCCGTGGCTACATCCTACTTACAACATTTGCATTGCTTCATGGGATTCACGTGGAACTCCCTGTAAACACGGCTCCTGCGCTATTCCCAGGGTACCTGCAGTTGCATTCATTTCACTTATTATACTGGCAGATTTTTTTTTTTTTCCCTTTAAAGTAAAAAAATAAAAGCATGCAGATTTTGAACTCTTAAAAAAAGGTGATGATGAATGAGGTCTCCTGCTCCCCCTGGAGGAGGGGAGCACGCTGGCCCTGGAGCTGGTTGCTCCAGCCTTGCTCCTCCGCTCTGCCCTGGGACACTGATCCTGGGCTCGTGCCGGCTCCGTCCTGGGCTGCTCCAGCAATGCGGAACCGCACAACCTAGGCTTTTCCCTGCCACAGGGGCGATAAGGCTTTTCAATCCATCATCCCTCAAGGGTTGCTGGTTGCGTTACTGTCCTCCAGCCTGCTTTCCACTGCCTGAGCCCTGGCTTCTAGCAGAACTGATCGAGAATTAGGTTTTGCTTTCCATTAGAAAAAAATGATTTGTCAAAAATGACTTGTCAGCATGGACCCTTTTGATGGCAACATTCGATCAGGACGGACTTTTTCACATAAAATGGAAGAGCCTGTCCCCAGCAAGGCAGAGGCACAGCCCTTTGCTGAAGGGATTCCTCAGGAGTATGGGAAGCCCTGATGGGTGCTGGGGTCTCCCACATCCCAGGGTCTTCCTGGCTTCTGGGTCGGTGCCTTTTGCTGCTCAGATCACTCTCCTCATGACACAAAATAACAAACATTTCAAGAAGAAAATTTTCTGAGCAGAAAACCTGCCTGCCCTCTCGATCTGGCATCTGCCCCTGATTTTCCATTTCAGTGGAGCGACTGAAGCCTAAGGCTGAAGATGTTTGCGGTGTAAAGCCCCTGTTCTGCTGAGCTATCCCAGACCTTTGTTCAGGCGCTCTGCTCATCAGATCTCTAAAAAACTTCTTTCTTTCTTTCTTCTAAATGACCTAATTGTGGGGTTTATGGTTAAATGATCACCTGCATAAGAAGAATTGTCACCGGAGTTGAAATGAGTGTCCCGATTCCTTAAAGACAGGCAGAGCCACCACTGTCCCCTGTCCATCTAACACGAAAGCTGAATTTGATGTCTTTCAGGATTTTGGAAGAGTTGTTTTAATTTTCTAAGAGAAAAAGAAAGGCTCTCCCATGGCTTTGTAGTCACAGACGTTTAGAGGCTGTCAGTGTAGCCAAGGGTGAGGCACAGCCGCGAGATGGAAGATGGCAACACTGCCACACGTTAAAAGAAAAGCGACAAAAGAAAACTTGTGTTGCTTTTGAAGAAAAGTCTGAAAAGGTGGAAGAAAATCCACTGTAGGGAACACTTTTGCTTTGGCTGGAGAATGGACTGGAGGGAAGAAGCAGCCCCCCCTCAGGGCTTGGACGTTTCCCAGGGATGCTCCTCTCCTCCCTGGTCCCAGGACCCTTCCCGAGGGGATGTGGCTGGAGGGGTCTGAGCCGAACGGTCCTGTCCCTGCCCAGCCCCTCCAGCCCACCTTCTCCACCTGTGCCTGCGCCTCCCTCAAAGGCATTAAGCTCCTGCCCTATTTATTTTCACATCAGATTAACGACAGCGAAATCCCTAATTCACGAGCGGGATTACCCCGAGTGCTCTGCCCTAACGGGACTAATCCTCCCTCCCTCCGGTGCACAGATATTCAAGGGAATTTCAGTTCCTGGCTGAAATTGCTCCTGGCTCTGGAGGAGCCCCAAAAGCTGTGATTTAACCCCTGGCTGGCTGCTTTTCCAGAGCTCCCCCCAAAAGCCATCTGGCCTTCAGCAGCCACGTGGAGATGCTCCACGGTGAATCCCCGGGCAGCGGGAGGTGATGCTGCTCTGCAAGGTGGGATTACAGAGAGCATCTTCTCACCGCATCCTCCCCACGGAGCCTGGGCAATTCGAAATGGCCAGCAAGAAATAAAAGCCCCATTCTGATAATGACGGGAAAACACCCAGAAGAGAAAAAGAGAGGAAAAGGTGAAGAAAATTCCACAGCAATCCAATGGCAGGCTTGTGCCAGCACGAATAGCAAGGATGTGGCTGGAGACAGAAGCTCCACGGCACAGAACGGCCTCGTGGGTGACCCTGCAGCGTTGCCGCACACCCTGCCCGGCTTTTTTGCAACCAGGAGGTCAAGGAAGGTGAGGGATGGTAACACCAAACTCAGCCATACGGGGCAAACCCAAACCCCAAGTGGCACACACTCTGGTGCTGCCGGAGCTGGGACGGGACTGGCTCGGGATCCTCCTGGTCCTCCGGCAGCAGTGGTGGCTGCAACCCGCTAAAACCGTGACTGTGCAAAACCGGGTACTTCTGAGTTACCATGGAAACTGCTGCTCTCGAGGCCACCGAAGCACCACCCAGTTTAAAACAGCCAACTTCACGACTAGGAGATTTGAAAAGAAAAAAATGCAAAGGAGAGATCTAGACTAACCGCTGGAGGCAAAGATAATTGCAAAAGATTTGCTTAATATTTCTTCCTCTGCCACAAATTCCAGGGTAATGACATCTCCAGCGTATCTGGGCCAAGCTCAAATCCCCCGGACGCCCTTTGGGCAGGAGCTGGGGAGTGGCAGAGCCCTGCCCGCCCTGGGGGGGCTGCTCCCGGCCACGCAGCACCGCACTGCGGGATCGACGCAGTCTCTTACGCTGAAATCTAGCCCCGAGTTTAGACGTGGCGACACAGAAACCCGGCTCTGCCCCAAAATGTTGTTGGCCCCACATGCTGTTAGAGCAAGGGCTGATGCTGATGCTCTCCCAGTGCTGATGGCTTCGTGATGCTGCTGCTCTCCAGAAGCTTTTCACATGGTTTTATTGAAATTGCCTCCAGGGAAAGACCAGTGGCTTGAGGATGAAGAGCTCTGGTTGCCAGAAGATGCCTCAGCATGGGCAAGACCCGCTTTGCCTGCTGACCTCTGCCATGCCAGTTCAGCTGGTAAGGCCTTGACCTGATTTAAAAAGACGGATGGGAATTCAAGGGTGTGTTGAAGCCGTTGCTCAAGACGGCATGAGTGTTTCCAGCAGTAAAACCAATGACAGGAGCCCAATGCAGAGGGTTGGGGTTGGGTGGCCACTCGTTGGCTCCACATCACCTAGCCACTGGTATCAGTGCCAGTGGACGTGTTTGAGGAGTAGGCAAGCCGAAATAAAATTGAGTAGGAGCTGTGCATGTGTCCTGCCCAGAGGGAGACCTCCTGGCACCTCCTGCCTCCGTCAGCAGCCCCTGCCCTCTGCCACCGGCAGCGGGGTTAGAAAGGGCCCCTCCATCACCGAGGCAGCAACACAGCAAGACTCTCATCTCCTAGGGACATTACCGATTAATTAAGGAATCCAGCTAACAAACACAGAAAAAATATTTTGTCTTTAAACCTGCTCTCTGGTGGATCCAGAGCAGACCAGGACATCAGAGCCGCTTTGCATCTTAGGGTGAAGAGCTGGCCGAGGACGCCTGCAGCGGTACGGCACTTCAT